AAAAAAAAAAAAAAAAAAAAAAAAAAAAAAAAAAACCAAACTATTTATAATGACAGCAATAATAAAAATAACTGCACAGTCTGCTCCGTGCAGTGACTTTTTTCACCCTCTGTAAGGGAAGGGTTGCTATTTATGGAATGCTCCAAGTCTGCCTTTCAGGACGCAGCCCAGCTTGGCTGGACAGCTTTCAGTTGCTACTAGAAATATGTCACTTATTAGGAACAGAGGGGATGTTTATCACTATCTCAAGGGTTACTTTGGCTGAGGCAAAGAAATAGCTCAGTTATATAATGGAAAGAGCTGGGTCAAAGGATGAGGCATTTATATAGCGTGTACTCAAGACTCCAGGAGGGCAGACTGAGTCTCTCCCTCCTGTGCCTTTGAAACAGTGTGGACCCACGGCTACACAGATCTCCCCAAGCTCCTTCAAAGCTACAGGGGCTGGAGTTACTATTAAAGAACACTGCTCAAACTTCTCAGCTGAGAGAAAAGGTGCATCTTTCCCACTGCTCCTGTTGCCCTGCCCGTGAGCCTCTTTGTTGTTACCCCACCCATCACGTAGCTGTAGCTCAAACCACATCCAAACAAACCAGAAAGGTCATCAGCTCAAGCAGAGAAGTTTGAGCACGGCATGTTTTAATGGTGCTTAATAAATCAGTGTGTGGGGGGGTGCTCCTCGCCACGTTCACTTCTGACTTCCAAAGCAAAAAGAAAGCTCCCCCACACCTAACACCACCCTGTCCTGCTTCAGCACAGGACAGAGCTGCGAAGCACCACACGGCGGCAACTCAGCCGATCGATGTGCATGCCGAGCACTTCGTTTCAAGGTCACTCCAACACCAACTTCAGTCAGAAGAAAAACAACCCGCATCCAGAGCGTTCCCTTGGCGCTTCATTCGCAGCATCCAAGGAGAGCATCGATCTCCTACCACCAACCCAAACGCCTGCCGTCCACCTCTCGAAGCACAGCCGGTAAGTCAGCACGGCGCCTCGCCCCAAGGACCGAGCTCAGGAGCCCGCTGGGTCCGAGGCCTCCCCGAGCCCCACCGCGGCACCTGTTGTGCCGGCAGCCGAGCGGGGCAGCGGCGGGGGCCGCCGCGGGGCGCCGCGATCCCGTTGCCGATCGGGGGTTCGTCCTCCCCCTGCGCCGTAACGGGCTGCCCGGGCTGCGGGCCGGGGGCGGGCGAAGGTGGGAAGCGAGGAGGACGCGGGCGAGTTTAAAGCGGGGGGAGACAGAAGGGAGGAGTTTAGGGAGAGGGCTCTTGGGAAAGGAGCTTTGGGAAAGAGTCGCGGAGGGGGCGAGCGGGCTGCGCGGCTCCGGCGAGAGGACGGGCGCCTGGCGGAGACTCCCGGGGCCGCGCCGCTCGCCTCTGCCGGCTGCTTGCCCTGCCGGCTGCTTGCCCTGCCGCCGCTTGCCCTGCGCCCCTCCCGGCGGCGGGGCGCTCCGAGAGCCGCGGCTGGCGGAAGGCGTCGGTGCGGAGCGCTGCGCTGCGCGGCCGTCCCGCCCCGCCGCGGGCGGCCGGCTGGCTGACAGGTGCGCGCTGCTCCGCGGCACCGGCCGCCCGCACGCCCCCG